TTCAATAAGGTAAGATTATTTTTCTTTAGCCATTGAGCTCTTTAGCAGAAACGTTTTCTGACGGTTTGTGTTATAATTCACGACTAGCATCTCCCTGTTCCCCTTTTTAATGACGATCTCAGACAACCGTCGTATGCTGGTATGGAGGGCTGTGTCCTTTGACGCAGGTGCAGATTACATGTGGTTGTTGGCCATCGGTTTGGTGTGTTCATGTGCAACTTTTTGGCTGAGACACCTCGACAAGTGGCGATGCAGTAGGGGGCTCTTGTCGCTGCAAATTCACTGATGTTGGTTTGGTTTGTCTAGGCCTTTAAGGTTCAAGGACAGGATCAGGCAGAGTACGTTTCAGCAGCTTGGAGCGGCTTTTTGCAATGGTCTTCAATGAGACTGAAGTTGCTGAGTACCTCAAGTTTTTTCTACTCTACGCGCCTCTCATTTTGCAGGTGTGCGCTGAATGCCATTAGCTGAAAATCACTGGCTTTTTTTCCCATTGTCAAATCAGATAAATTGAGAGACGGGCCTTCTGTGGTAGCAATGACAACAAGTAGTAGCATACAGTGTTAAGCGAACGTTAGCTCATTTTCATCATCACCTTGCTAGGGAAGCTGCAAGACATACCTGGACAAATTTTAGCCTAGCTTGTTTTTCCAATTGTAATTAGGCCCGAAAATTCTCAGCAGATTGTCAAACGACCGACGGATCCTAAAAAATGCCTTGAACCGACCCACATCCAGGTGAAGGTCCTCAACCAGCTGGTGGTACTCCTCAGCATTTACCCTCTTTCTGAGAGTGTCATCCACCCACACAAATCTCCGTTTCCTTGTGATCTACAGACAATTTGGGAACAACCTCATTTAGATCCAGAGCAAGGTCCCCTTAGCCTGTCCACTTTTATGCAGATTTAAAGGCACAGACCTGTGAGTTTATAAGGAGTTAAGCTAAGGACAGGTGATTCTGTGGTTCCGAGAAACAATTTTAAAAAAGATGCAGCAACCTGGCTCCAACGAAAAAATAGCAGTGGGTTTCACTTCCTGTTTTGCAACCTGCAAAACAGACTCTGTCTGATCAGGGCCTAGAGGGAATTTTATAGTTGTCATTGCAAAATATGCCAATACGAGTGGCCTGAGGGGCCCCTTTTCCCATATTTTTTGGGGGGAGTCCCCAAACGTTTGCCTGGTTTGCCTCTTCTGAAGATGCGCCCCTGACTTCTACCAAAAATGCACAAACATTAGTAAACTGAACCTGAGTATCAGAAGTTAAAGTAGTCATTGTGAAAGAGAAAACAGAGTGTTTTGCCATTTGTGTGAAAAACTTGAATATCCAGTTTGGTATTTACAGTTTCAGCTTTCAGATCAGTGGATGATGAAAAACATGATGGAGAGATGAAGCAAATGAGGAACAAAAGTAGCAGGAAAAGAGAAAGACTCAAAGCAAAGATTTAATAAAGCAAATACTGAAAGAAATAAACATAATATGAGCAAAAATTTAGAGCTATTTTTTAATGTAAAGTCTGATTCTGTCTAGATTTGTCAGTCCTGAAATCTAGTGATGGATAAGTAGTTTATCCAAATGGAAATACCCAACTGAAGTAACAGTACCTGTGAACTGTGTTTAAATCTAGTACCAATAAGAGAAAGTAAATATGTCAGAACTGCTGAGTGTGTGTTTTCTAATTGGTCCACTCTACAGAAGGAACTGCTTTGTGTTCAGTTACTGTAGAGGACAAATGTGACCTCAGAGCAGCTGGGTCATGACACGGGCTATTCCTGCTTCCAACCCCGACAACCAGCCTCCCATCACATACCCCAACCAGACTGACCACTCAACACTGTCTACCAACAATGCAAACAATGTCTATACTGTCTCTGATGCAGTAACCAACTAAATCGCCAAATCATTTCAGAGTCAAACATACCTGTTTACTGTTACTGTCATAAGAGGTTATATGTGAGTGCCATGAAATCTGTCTCATCAAGACCAGATAATGCTACAAATTCAAGTTTATTTCCAGAAGCATCTCTTTTGTGTTTGAACCAACCTAAAAAATTCTGTCAAATGTTTTGTTTTCAACCAAATCTAGCTGTACTGTATGATGAGCTGTGCTATTGTCATTTCATAGTGTTTACCTTGAACCCGGAAATCCGCTCTTGCCTCACTGACAGCACTCAAACAGTAAAAACAGATGGAGGTCCTGACACACAGACAGACACTGGGAAGGAGGAACACCCATAGTTTCCTCAGCTCAGTCTTGAATAATCAGTTTCAGCTTGTTTCTGTTTCCTTCAGCAGTTACATAGCAATCATTTACAAGCTCCTGTGTGTTGCATGATTTATCTGTGGTACACTTTCTCTTAGTGTTCAAACAACGATGCAGTTAGGCTACATCTCTGAGGTCACTGGGGCGGCAGCAGCATCTCAGGCTGTCACGTCTGACAAAAAATCTCCTGTAATTGTTTCAGCCGAGTCGCTGACTGCACAGTGGCTGTAAATGTCACCGGATACAATGGAAGGAGTTTTTCAGACACGGAGCTGAGGGGCCGCAGGTCGAGAGGAGCCTCTGAAGGTGGCAGCTCCTGCTTTAACAGGAGCGGTGAGGTCAGCTCCTTCACAGGCGCTGTTTGGTCTCAGCTCAGGTTTCCTGTTGCCTTTGCCCCTTTGTGTCAGCTGTCCGAGTCAGTACAAACAAAGTGACTGCCGCGACAACTGAGTGGAAAAACTCTGCTGCTTACAGATCAGTGTTGACATAAGGGGAGCTCCTCTGCTCACTGTCTGACTCTTGTAAATCACAGCTATGACCTCTGATGTAACTGTTTTTCTTCTATAATCACCTCATAACACACTCTGCCCAATGCAATGATTAATGTCTGCCATACCAGACAGGAGACTTTGAAAAGACTTTGAAGAGACTAACCCTCTCACATCTAAAGACAATGTCAGGTTTTAATCACACACTATGAGACTTTGCAAAGACTTGGGATCTTGCAGGGTCATTGTTTGCAAGACTGCAACTAAATTCCTTTTGAGATTATTTCCCATAACAATTCCTTGTGTGTCTTCAAAGACATATAACTCTAGAAACACAAGATAAAAGGCATCACATGTCGACAGTATTCTTGTCATTTCGGCATCAATACAATCCATGAAGATAAAATGTATTTGCATACAATCAGTCTCACAACTCCACCAGAGAACTGACATTTATTCGTTCTTGCCTCTCCCTGGAGTTCCCTGAACATTTACGGTCTACCTGGTTTGCTGCTTCCTTTTTGGTGCTGGAGAGGGTGCACCAATTGACTGTTGATAGTGTTATTGCATGAGCCAAGACTAAAACCTACGATGTTTGATTTTATCAGAACGTCAAGACAAGAAAAAGACTGACTGAAGACAGTTAGGACTGAGCATTATGACCTCCTTACACCAAACAATAAAGATCATGGGAGTGCGTCACAACTTCAGCAAAACTCTCATGACTCTCATGCATAAGAGAATAGGTTTCACAATGTTTCCTGGACTGTAATATGTCACGATAACTGAGCTTTTGTCAAAAAGAAATAGAAAAATATAAGCGGCTCTGACTCAGTTCTTCATGTTTACAGCAATCAAAACTTGCAAAAAAAGATTTTCACTCCCCATATGATGTTATTTTACAGTTTATGAACTCCAATATTATCCACAAATGTTGCTAACTAATGCTGTTGCTGCTGTATCACCTGATGAACGTGACAAAAAGCTCTGTAGATTTGAAAGGAACTGTTGATTTTGGTGATAATTCCTTCACAGCAGATGTATTAATTATAAAATATCTGTGTAGTGCAGCTTCATACCCTCAGTGTATGAGCTGTTCTCTGACTGCAACCACCTGAATAATATGCTGCCATCTAGTGAATGTATCCTGACATTACAAGTACACAATTGACTGTCACACAGTGGTGGACGATAACTACCTACATGACATGTCTTCTCATGTTTCAGGTGTTCATCAGTAGTTGGAAGTTCCACCAAAGACACTTCTTGAATGATTTCATTTAAATGACTGCACAAAGAGGTCAAATTATCTGGTATTTCACAAAAAAGGGTGAGGTTAAAGAAGCATACACTCAGTTTGTATGTACCACAAAGCTGAAGTAAACTTCCAGAACAACTCTTAGTTCTTTTAAATCAAGGCTGAAGACTATTTTTTTCTGTTTGTCACTGCCTTTAAGTAAATCTAATTTGGAGTAGTTTATTCATGTGTTGCACTGGACTGAATTTTTTATTCTGCTTTTTAATCTCTCTCAGTCTACCTTGTCTTATCTTAAGCTTCCATTTTATTTTATTCTTTTTAAATCATATTTATGTCTCTTTTAGAGATTGTCCTGTGTTTCTTTTATTTATTTTCTTTATGCCTGTAATGACTTACGTAGAGCACTTTGAATTGCCTTGTTGTTGAGAGCTGCTACTGTGTATAAATAGACTTGCCATGTCTGTGTGTGATTTAAAAAAAAAAAAACAAAAACACCAAATCATAATTTTACTTTTTATTTTGTGACAATGCGACTGAGTTAACAGACCTTTGGTTGTAACTCTACAAATCTGAAAACACAAACCATTTTCTTTCTACAGTAAGAACTTCAACAAAGTCTTACTGATATAACAGTGTCTCCAAACTGCCAGGTTTGCAAATGTAAAACTAAACGTAGAGGTTTCTTCACAACAGAAAGAAAGATTATAAATACGCATAATCCACTGTATCTGTAATTGAATATTTTCCGTGTAACAGTATGTCTGTAAATGAGACTGGTACAGTGCAAAGATTTCTTCTATTCAGACGGCACTTTGTTTGCACTGTTGCTAAGTTTCTGTCTTTGTTGAATGTCTGACTGAGCTCAGCCCACTTAAGTTAATTCTCTTTGTTAAGAGGACTGAAGGCCCTCGTTACCAAGCAGCACTTTTTATGTGTTTTGTCAGCAATTAACCCTTGTGCCACTGTCTGCTACTTTCTCCTGGGGCTGCCACTGTGATCCTGACACACAAACAACATCAAACTCTGTGGATTTATACTGAGGAGATATCTCCAGGAAATTTAAGGTAAACAGACACCTTATCTGTACATCAACACATCAAAATGGTTCCACGCAGTTTGTTGCATCCACTGTCCTCAGTCTGCTTTAAAGATAAAATCCAATTCTCTGCAAGTCAGCATCTCTCTTATGCAAGAAGTAATTGCTTCAGGCTCCCAGAGATTGAGTGCCACAGCGACGTGTGGAGCATCAAGCCACCTGATTTCTCTCTCAGACTGTACCGATCTCTGTCTGTTCCTCAAAAGAAAGAAAGAAAGACACATTCAAATCTATCTTTACCTGAACTTAGTGAAAGAAAAAGGAGAGCTGGAATATTTCTACCAAATGTTTTACATGAGAGTTTTCAGAAGAAAGACCCTCCAAAGTTCATCACATTGCACAGGCCTCCTGATGCTCTGGAGTCTGAGCTGATGTTTGTGAAGACTGGGAAGTTCCCTTCTGGGCCATACAAGAACCCCAGACCACATAACTTCAGACCGGTAAGTGTCTGCAAACACAAAATCTGCTTTAAACCTTGTTTATATATTTGTTGAGTGTATGTTGAATGCAAAATGGCAATAAACCAACCCAACTGGCAGAAAAAGTGTTGGCATTGTACATTTCTGCAAACCAAGGATACGCTACATTTGCACGGTACTATGTAGCAGATATGTTAAAACTTAATATTTTAACAATGCTGTGGTTAACATGCGGTTAGGTTTAGGCACAAAAACCACTTAGTCGCAGTTAGGAAAAGATGTTTTGGCTTAAAATACCCCTGTTTGGGGGCACAATCACCGCTAGAAATGCAGCAATGTCTTGGTAAACAAAAAGTGCCTAGGCAGCTGCTTGAAAAACAGCAACAGATCGCTAAAAAAGCTGCTGAAAAAACAGTGACAGGTTGCTACAAAACACCCCAATTGGTGCGTAAAAAGCCAAACTGTGGTCTGCAGCGGTCTGCAACTTGGCAAGGGTCTCACCTCGGTGTCATGCCATCCACCATCCCCTTCAGACAACAAAGTCAGCTTATATACTGCGTCACTTTAGAAACAATGATGATGTGAAACGTACAAATGCAGCATATTTGTGGTTTGCAGAAATGTACAATGCCAACATTTTCATTCGGCGACTGAGCTGGATAAACACACAGGCTGAATACAAGAACGGAAAGCAGGGTCATTCTATCTTGAAGCAAACCTCTCGGCAGTTTGTAATGTTTAATTTGACCACAAGATGGCGATAAACACAAAGTAAAACATACAACTTTTTTATGACTTATTTTTCATGACTGATTTCAGCTCGATGAGGACCTTCCAGACATAGTTACCACATATGAGAGAGATCCTGGAAACCTGAATTTAAAATTAAAGCACTTGGACGTTAGTAAGTGGATTAACTTTATCGTTTCCTTCAATCTTTGAGTTAATTTTGGCTGAAACTTTGTCTCATAGTTTAATATTCTAAATGCTTCCATTTGTGCCACTACCAGAACAAATGCATTTTGAACGTGAAAAAGAAAACATGTTTCAGTCAGTCAAAGGCCTTTCTTTTTTTTTTTTTTTTTACATTTTTAAATACCACTGTAGGCACAAGTGACTACATGAATAAATATGATTTCTTTTCCAGTTCGGACCACTAGATCTGAGCCAGACTTTAGTTCGAGGGACACTAAGACAAAGATGGACACCTATAAACCTGCAGAGCCCACGTGGGATGTGAGGCTCATACTCCCTCAGCCGCCCTGGCCTCCAAAATCAGCTTCCTTTACTGTGAGTGGTGTTTTGGCGTCATAGAGAACCATTTCTATGTCAAACTGTGTCAGTCCCAAAAGAGCCAGACTAAAACTGCACTCATGTAATCATCATGCAGATTGTTCCTCAAGTATTACACTTCAGTACAATTCTGATACTTAATACCTCTACTCCACTACATTTCAATAGGAGATATTGTAGCTTTTACTTCTCTGCATTTATCTTCCAGCTCTTATGACTATCAGATTAAGATTAAACATACAAAACAAATGATGAATTCATAAAATATGATGCATTATTAAACTACCCACCTACATATGAAGTAGTTAAAACTAGCTATTATCACTATGTAAATACAATAATAATACAATAACAGTGAGTACTTTTACTTTTGAGACTTTAGGTACATTTTGTTGCTTGTGTAATTTTACTACATTTTGAATGTTGGACTTTTACTTGTAGTGGAGTACTTTTTTAGTTTGGGATTGCTAATTTTAATCAAGCAAATGATTTGAACACTTCCTCCACCACTGATGATTACATGTCATCACAGTATAATATATCCAAGGTCTTATTCATTTATTTAATTATTTTTTAATTTTGTAATTTTTTTTAATTAATTATCTTCTGTAACCACTAATCCTGTTAGGGGTTGCTACATGTAGATCTTTGCTTTGCAGCTGACATAGTATAATGTTGTCAGAGGTCTTAATGCTTTTAAAATGGACTGGAGTACTGACTGGAAAAAATGTTACATCATCAGGGTGTCTAGACGTTAAATTTAAGACTTAAAAGACCCTTTTGATACCACTTTAAATAAATGTAAGACCATGATTGTAATAGAAATACACAACAAAAGTGAAAATACACCCTTACCAAGTAAAAACATTGATGTCTGATCAAAATGAACTGTAAGTTAAAATGACACTGGTCGAAGCATAGGGGAAGAACAGCTAACAAGCAGGCTGGCTAGCAAGGTTTTAGTTTAACGATACAGACTCATAACATGATGTAAATGCATAGAGAGAGCGAAAATAGTGGCATTGCCTGCATTCAGGTTTTGTGTTAAAGTCTGTTACTCTGTCAAATAGTGTTTCCTTCCTAACACCAGGTATTCTCGCAGTGACGTGAATAAAAATCTTAAATTATTCATTCATTTTCCGTAATTGCTTATCATGGGGGGTCGCGGGATCATGGAGGGGCTGGAGCTTATCCCAGCTGACATTGGGTGAGTGGCGGGGTACACCCTGGACAGGTCACCAGACTATCACAGGGCTGACACAGAGAGACAGACAACCATTCACACTCACATTCACACCTACAGACAATTTAGAGTCACCTGCATGTCTTTGGACTGTGGGAGGAAGCTGGAGCACCTGGAGAAACCCCACACTGGCACGGGGAGAACATGCAAACCCTTTTGCTGCCAATGCTAGCCACTGCACCATCGTGCTGCTTTAAACCCCTTAGTAATAAATGTGTATTTAAGACTTTTTAAGGACCCACAGCCACCCTGATCATATCTCCGCCTATAAAAATATTACACAATAGTAAGTTTGTTTAATAAGAAAGCAAAGATCTACATGAGGCAAAACAATTACTCCATACAACAAACCATGTGATTTCTGGTGCTTTATGTAGGCAAAGTAGGAATGCATCTTGTTTAATTTAGATAACTTGATTTTAACTACCTGTTGTATTTTACATTACTTAGTCTATCTCACACAGTGGGCAATATTTACAATTTAGACACTTCAGAGTTGCACCTGCTTTAATATTGACACTGAATGTCTGTTTCACAGAGACACAGACGAAGAAGAGGAGCCTACAGCGCATTCTTGGACCGCGTGGAGGAGAAACTGTCAAGATCGTGGAAAAATAGATCATGATTTCCTTTTTTTAAAAATTATTTTTACATGTGCATGACCTTCTTTAAACTGTACATAAGCATGACATGTAATTAACAGACTAACTAACAGACAATGGGGATGTAAAAAAATAAACTTGACAAGTTTTGGTAGTTGTGATTAGAGAACACAGAAAAAAACAAAGCTTTTGGAACAATGTAAGACAAATATACAACTTTTTTCAGATTAATAATGCATGTTTTTTACTACAATTCAGATACACCTAATATCAAAGCACACATAACAGCCACTTCCCAAAGCACATTGTGTTTTTGTAATGTGTTGTTTCCATCTTCCATGTATCTATACGTTTAGTATTGGTTTTAATACAGTTTTAAACATAAACATAATCTCTACTGTTAAACTTATAGTATATTAATGTTGATTTGTAATACAGCTGAGAGTACAAAATTAACTAAAAAGGACTGAATACAAAGGACACATTCAGAGATTCTTGTAGCTTTGGGTGTATGGCAGGGGACATGTAGTGACTGTGGGGTCATGGAAGTCATCGCACCACATTAGAAAGCCCACTGGTCCACTGACAGCTGCTCATACGGTACCTCAAGAATCCTAAACATCTGAAGCCTGCACATGTTCGAAGCATATCCGAAATAGCTGCATATATGTGTTCAACGAGTCATCTGTGCATAACTCGCTGACTAAATATAAAATGAAACGAATATCAGTCACTGCAATAAACCACTTGACCCACAGGCTGCCATGTGTTTTTCTTATTTTAATCTGCTATCATCCTTTCCAATACTGGACAATGTAATGAAAAGTTTCATCCCATGTATGGCTAATAAAGATACTACTTACGAGTGTCGTTGTTCTTCCTTGTTCTTTACAGGACTGTGCAGAAGTCTAATGGCAGATCGGAAAAATCTACACAAGAAAAACACAAAATGTAAAGTCAAAAGAAGTTGTGACAAAGCACTGGAACAAAATACATCTCATCGAGCTCTTTTTGTTACTTTTCATTATATCATTTCTTTAGTTTTTGAGAGATTTTAATATGACTTCAAATGGGCCATATGTAACCTGTTTTACTAGCTTTATAGCAATATATGCCAGCTACCAACTGAAAGAATGCAGGATGTGAAGGACTGTTGCTTTTTCTTATTTGACAATTACTAGCTTGTTTTTTTTTTTCATTTAAAACATATGATATGGGATGTGTCCCTTGTGTCACCCTCTCCCTGAAATCTACACCTATGTGTTTTATTACTTAATATTTATCATTAAGAATACAAAATATAATCAACAAAAAAATAATGATGTAGTATTGTGAATAGAGAAAAGAATTTATTGATTGAAATTTACAAGCTACCCAGTGATATATTAGTCAGACATTTCAAGTTTAGGTGTGAAAGATTTAGGGGGATTTAGTGGCACCTAGTGGTGAGGATGCAGATTTCAACCAGCTGAAACTTCTCCCAGTGATCAGTGTTTATTGTTCAGGAGGTATTTACTGGGAGCAGAATTGTCGGCAGAGGTCTCTTCCTCTCCAAAACAGACAGACATGGTGATTTAAAACAGTAAAAAACACTGAATAAAGCAGATTCATATTACAAATCTATGTTTCTCCTATCTGTTTGGCACGTCGGAGAGGGGCAGCTTGTCACTCACTCATTCATTCATTAATTTTCTGTAACCACTTCTCCTGTTAGGGGTCATGGAGGGGCTGGAGCCTATCCCAGCTGACATTGTGCGAAAGACGGGGTACACCCTGGACAGGTCGCCAGACTATCACAGCCCTAACACACAGAGACACACAACCACTGACACTCACATTTACACCTATGGCTAACTATGGTAGCCAACGCAAAATCATGAAATGTCCTATATGGCTGGATCCAACTGTCCACCCTCTGGACTTGTCCACTGAGCCCTCGCAGACTTCAGTTGTACGTAGTGTGACGTACACACCGTCGTCACGTAAAGTCTGTGAGGGCAGTGACTGCATGCAGCTGATAGACAGCCCTCTGTGGAAACGTTCAACTATCGCCGCTGTCATATTCATATATATTTCATATAAGTTGATGATATTTCCCTACATAGCCTGACAGGCTGCAATAATAAAATGCATTTTCATTCCTTTTAGAGCCTATACTCATACATATTTCCATATCATGATGTGGCTGAATATTTATTTCTGTTTTTTTTTTTTAGCAATTGAAAAAAAAAAACAACCATCACGTCAATATGGCAATGAACTGTGGGTTATCAAATCAGTGAAGGCTGCTAAAGTCTGCACCCTATGCGGACTCTCTGGAAGTCGGCAGAAAGTTTGCTTGAGGCCCCTTGTGGGCTAGTCTGCAAGTGTGGTGAAGTCCGGACAATTGGATTCAGCCTCTAAAGGGCTCATTCTAAGGTTAGGAAAACACAACAGTTCTTATTTTCAGGCAATTATACACTATAACAAACACACTATAGTGACTTTTTAACAAAACAAAATGTCTAAACAAGCTACTGAGAGGCGAATGGGTGAACTTGTTCCGCACGTGTGTTCAGGGCTAACAGTAAACAAATGTCCAGTGTGCTTTATCTCTTTGGATTTGGCGATCCATTTATTCTCAATACAATATACACATGTTCACCATAACACAGAGGGGCAACAGCATTGTTCATATATAATAATTACTCATTCAGCATTTCAGTTTTACACGCCAGTACTTCAAGCTTGTCAACATGCTTCCACAATACGTGCCAACACGTTGCCTCCCCATTCTTCACCCGATTCTCTGTACATGGAGCTTACCTATATGCTTTTCACCATGAATGCTCCACCCAGTGTTCAGTCTAATAACTGCATTTGTATATAATGTTTACCTTGTTTAGATAAGGATAGAATAAACAAACTTAAGTATTATGACTCCAACATATACTTAGATTCCATTTCTGCCAGTATGTACCCCTAAATCCTGCACACTGGACCTTTAACATTCACAAATATAGACTTTATACTTCTGTATGTTTGAGTCAATATTTGAATTCAAGACTTCTACTTGTAATTGAGTATTCCTACACTGTTGTAGTGCTGCTTTTACTTAAGTAAACAAGTGTTTCTTCCTCCACTGGCCTGTGTTTTGTGTCACATTCCCTGTCTCTGTGTTAAAATAAACACAATTCAAACAAAAGATCATGACCCACAAAACACCAGAAGCAGACACAGGTTATATAATGTAACTGCTGGAGGACCAGTTAGTGTTTGTTATCCTTCATGCATGATGGGCTGCAGAGAGCGTGGTGCCTTTCCTGCCTCTCTGACCAATCAGTTTAAACAAAAACACGCGGATGAATGGGGCGGCGCTGTTTCTGCACACACACACTCCCTTTCTCTCTGCAGTCTCCACACACACACACACACACACACACACACACACAGCGGACAGCAAAGGCAAAACACGCCGAGAAAAATCAACGGTAAGTTTCTATTTTACTTCAAACGGTTGCTAACGTTTACTGTCTCGTGCGGCTGCTAGCTTAGCCATTAGCATCCCAGGGCGTTTTTATTCTAACTGAATGTCCGTTTACGTTTTAATATGGGCTACAACAACAACTAGCTCACATTTACAAGTGTATTCCGGTTTCTTGAGCTACATTTTCTGTCAGAATAACTGCATCTTCAACTTGGCGGTGAAACAAATATCTTATCAACGTCAACAAAACGTAAAAAGTGCATTTTGTGGACATTTTAATGCACGTACACACACAGTCTTTAATTAAAATGTACCTTTGTCGCTTCTCCTGCCGTCTTCTATAAATAAAACTCATTTCAAACACATCGGCTAACTCTTAATATGCTCACGAATCGATATTAATTAATTAATTATTGATGTAAAAAGTAAAAATGCTGTGACGGACAGACGCAGCAACAGGTGATCCTGGTTCCCGGGCAGGAAGCATGATTGACAGCCCTTTCAGCCAATCAGCTGGCAGAGAATGGAGCCCAGGCACCAATCGCGTGCGGCCGCAGTGTTCGTGTGGGCGTTGATCCAAGCTGACAGCAGTGTCATCAGCGGTAGATCCACACTGGGACACGGAGGACAGACAGGGAGGGTGTCTCCGCTGCTGAGGGAGGATTTTTTCTGTCGTCGTTGCCAAACACACGAGGTGGAAATACACCGTGAGTTGAATTTCAGGCTGTGTAGACGCTGGGGAGGACAGAGCCGCGTTTCTGTTCAGAGTTGAGTGTTTTCTCTACAGATGGCTCAGACTGGTAGGTAGCCAATTTTGGGCTGGACATAGAAATGCATGTGCTCACCTGCCGTGTTAATGCTGTCCTGCGAGTCCTCTGTAGATGAAATGCAGCAATATGTCTAGATAAAATACAGTCATTGGTAACTAAACTCTATTTTAACACAAGTAAGGATGTAATGTTGTACTAGAATGACATTTAAAAACTGCACACTAGCAAACAGGCCCCTGTAGGAGTGTTACAGTGGAACCATATGAGATTAATCTGTTAAACTTTGTACAATATGGTGGCTGTAAGCACATTATTGTACGAAATCCGGGTAATTTTCTAATATCCATGTCTGGATAGTGCTTTTGCTTTGTTACAGCTGGGTAATAAATCAATATAATGACACTGTGATATCTGATAAGATAGTGTATTGCTCAACAGTGTTTTCCTGGTCGTAAAGGCTGGTTTATAGCAAGTGACACACTACTGTGGACTTTGACAGATATCCTGGTAAACATCCACATTTATAATCTTTCTTAATCAAACTGTTGCATGTGAAAATTCTCTGGTACGACCAAAAACAAACCCTAAAATGTTGCAACAGTTTAAGAATCAACATATAAAGTCAAAAATACTATTTTTATTTTTTTGCATAGAGAAATAGTGATTTGATCCGTTGTTATTATACAAAATATTGTCAAGTGCAGCTTGTGTATTGTGAAATGAACATAACATGATTGCCCTCTTACAAATCAACAGTTAGAAGCAATCAAATACACCCATGCTCACGTCAGTAACACATTTGCTGCCACAGCCTTACTTGGTCTGGTGACTCTGGTATGACCAGTAGATTAAGGTGGCTTAGCAAACTTTGGAAGTATGTTGTTATGTAACTTGCATTAGTCAGTTTATTGACTTTATGAATCTTCTCTACTTGTGTTACTTGTTACCCGATCTCAGTCTCTTTAAAGCAACAGGCTCAAGGGAATGTAGTGAAATTAAATGTGCCATTATCCTGTAATTGCCAGTCGCTACAGCGGCTGTTCAGTCGAAGTTTCACAGTCAAGTGCTGCGAATAACGTTTGCAATTTGCTTTCAGGTAACTGCTGCAGTCATTTTGGAATATTCACAATTCTGAGAATTATTGTCGCACTGGAATTGGATCAGCTCTCCCAAGTCACCAATCCTTCCTCATGAGGAAAGATGGGGAATGGATTGTCAGAACAACCTAGCTTCCTCTCAAACGTGCCGTTCTTCCAGTCGTTTCACATCGCCATCCTTGGGCTGGACTCTGCAGGGAAGACCACTGTTCTGTACAGACTGCAGTTCAATGAGTTTGTGAACACAGTGCCCACTAAGGGCTTCAATGCGGAGAAGGTGAAAGTGTCCCTGGGCGGCCACAGGACTGTGACGTTCCACTTCTGGGACGTGGGCGGCCAGGAGAAGCTACGCCCCCTGTGGAAGTCGTACACACGATGCACAGATGGTATCATATTCGTGGTGGACTCTGTGGATGCTGAGCGCATGGAGGAGGCCAAGACGGAGCTCCATAAAATCG